GGTAAGAGAGGATGTGGTAGTTGCGAGTGTCTGTGTCAGTGCAAGTATTTTCTGTTGTAGCTCATCTGAGACGCGTTGTTGCTCGCGCTGGTTGCGCTCCAACATAGCCAGTCGCAGATCGAAGGAGCGGCTCTCGTTACTTGAAGATGGTGAAGGTGTGTTTGATGAAGAAGTGCACATGGGAGGTGTTCCCTTAACCTTAGCGGCGTATGAGCCCGGGGGGGATGTTGCGGGACGTGATAGGAGCTCATGCGCTGAAGAGGAGGGCGGCGAAGGCTGAGTGGCTCGGCGCATGGCTGTGCGACGGAGAAAAGCTGCTTTGGCGCAGTCGCGTTGCTTAGCTAGAAGGTAGGGGCAGGTGGAGTCGAGAGATGAGTGGGTGTTGACTTGGCAATGAATGCACCAGGGTTGGGCGCAAACGTGAGCATCGGGATCTGCCGGTAGAGGAGACGCACAGCGGCGGCACTTGGCCGGAACGCTGTGTTCGGGGCATTGATGAGCACGGTGCCCTATAGCAAGGCACCGAGTGCAAGTAGGGGGCTTGGGTTTATGCGGACGGCATCGGAAAGAGACGCGTTTGAAGTACACAAAGCGAGGGATGATGGTTCCAGCAAATGTTATGAGGACGGATTCAGTGGAGCCCATCATACGTGCAGCGAGTATATCTGAAGTAAAGGATTCGAGGTCATGCAAGAGCTGCGATGTTGTCAAGTGACCACCAACGTTGTGTATGACGCCGAGACAAGATATTGGAGGACTGAGGGCATAGGGCTTAATGGTGATCGGCTTACCATTAAGTTCCAGACTTGTGAGGGAGAGTAGGAGGTGGGCAGTGAGAGGTGAGTGCGTTTTCAGAAACACAAGGCTCTGAGCAGGTTTGGCTTGAAGGGTGACCTCCGCACTGGTCTTGGGAGAGAGATTTGCGGCGGCTGTGATGGTAGAAAGCAGGTCATAGAGAGGCAGTTTCGGCGTGAGTGTTCCGGGTGGAAGTTGGATTCCGAGGGTGATGAGCTCGGAGCGGGGGCGGGCGGTCGAGGCAGGTTTTCGATTGGCACTAACGGTGTTCCAGCTGCCTTCATGGGACGGCGTATTGTTTTCGTTGACTTGCGATGCCGTGAAGTCCATTTCCGTCGATAAGTCGTCAGCTGAAGTGATGGAAGCGATGGAAGGAACGACGCTCGTCGGAACGCGCTTGTCGACAGACTCGGAATTTCCAATGGGTAGGCCAGACGCAGATAAGGTGGGGAGAGCAGCAGGCGTGGTTGATTGCAATGCCAACGCTGCATTACGGCTCTCGGGTTCCGGCGTTTGCGTGGCTATCAAGCTGAGAGTAGCAGAGACGCCGCCAGCGTTGCACGTTGCTGGACCGTGCGCGCTGTCGAGGAACGCTGCCTGTTGCTGTATTGTTGTCGGCGCGGGGCTGGTGACATTGCCAGATGGTGACAGCGGAGGCACGGCTGTATCAGGCGTACGACCGGAGGAGGAGGCTGGGCTTACCGAAAGGGCGTAAGTTGTCGTTGGTGTCGAGTGCTGGGCGGGACTCTGTATCGTGGAGGTGCAGGCGCGGCGCGTTAGGGTTAGCGCGGCGCCGCGCCGCTTCGTACTTTTGAAGGGGCCTGGGGGGCCAGCCTGGGGTCGGACCGGGGCCCGGATGTTGTCGGCGTGTCCCGGAAGTCTTCCAGAAGGAATAGTGAGCTTGTCCAGACACGTGCGGGGCCCGGTAACGGGCCAAGAACACGTGAAAGTGGAGCACTGTATGCGGCCAGTCAAACAAAACGGCGCCACCTGGCGGTCCGCTCATGTATAAAACTGCATCAGTTCTTGAGGAAAAAAAAACGTTGGTGGTCGGTTATGTTTGAGAATTAGTCTGTAATTGCCACGGCCTCATCAAGTGTGAGACCCACTGGACGGCTTCTTTCATGTACTCCCATAGTAGAGTATCTCATCCTCTAAATCGTTAACCTTTTCTAATCACCCAGTACTATGCATGGTAACCACTTTTAGGGATGCACGCGAGTGTGTACAAGCGCGTGCTTGGATCGCTCATCGCGTTCTTCTTGGACATGGCGCTGTTCGAGCGCCTGTGACTTTGTGGGCGTCTGAGTCTGTGTGTTTTTTTTTTTTTTGTTTCATCGCACCGAGGTCCAGCGAACTCACCTCCGCAGCTACGAGCCCCGGCGAGCGCTTCGCGCTAACCCGACATCAAACGCGCCAACATGGCTCGTCACACCTCTCACAACTGGGCGGATCCACTTCTCCCCGCCTTCTTGGCGGCCTTTCTGGATAGTTGTGCCTTCTGAGCGTCTCGACGCCCGCACGTGAGCACGAATCGAATGCCCTTTTTTTATTCTACTTCGACTTCTCTTGCTTTTACTTTCCTATCCACTTTCAATCCCACTCCCCTTGTGCCGACCTGTTGAGGTGTCATCCCAGTGATAGACAGTTACGGGTGGCACTTTTCTCTTGCTTTCTTTTACATAATCACTTAGAGAGAGAGGGGCGAAGTTCCTTAAGCACTGCTGACGGGGCGAGTTGGTGCATGATAAAATGATACTGCTTTGGCGCAGCTCAGTTTGAGCGTGAAGCAGAAGATGCTATGCAGTAAAGAAGGGGAAAAGAAACAGACGACAGTGTGAGTGCTAACTTCAACTCTTGTTTATTGCGTACCCTTACAACACAATTTCTCTCATTTCACGAGACACCACACACATGACAAAATATTACACGTGTGGCACAGCGCACGCAACCAAGAAAACGTAGTTGTGATCTGATCTCAAATTAACAATCTTATGTGAATGCTTCACAGCAAACGCTCCACAAAATTGAGCTCTTTTTGAGATAAGGCCACAGACGGCGTACTCACACATAGCTTGGAACATTTTGCAGCGTTCGCCTCAATAATTTCCTGTCTAAAATGACTACAAGTACAACCCAAGATGACACACTGGTCAAAGAACGGAGTGCACCCACATGTATTACAATGCACAGCCAGGAAATCACCGAAAGAAAGCTTGTTTTTTACAATACAAGAGTGCTCGCGCAAGCGGTCATTAACACACCTACCAGTCTCTCCTATGTAAACCGCGCCACACGACAGCAAGAACATGTACACAAAAGCTAGGGCCCATTCAACAATCTAAGTTATATGATTCTTTCCACAGGTGGATTGCACCTCGTTCTTGGGGTTCGTAAGCTTACATAGACGGCTTAGTTTGGAGGAGAGAACACTACACGGACATTTCCTCTCAAGACTAATTTGATGTACGTATGGTATGACTGGTTCTCCCAGCATCGCGATCACCATTGGGCTGCGGCCGTCCCCGCATACGTGGACCATGCAATAGACACTCGGCTACCGACACTGGGTAGCCTGCAAACGATAATCGCTTGCTTTGTCTTGCAAAACTAGCGGCCATAGTGTGACGCCATGACTTCAACAGGGCGTTTTTCAAACATAACCTGGCTATTTCTCGTTTTATTAGCTTCGAATGCACCGAATTGTACTGCAAGAGAGGCTTTTAAAAAAAAGAGCTCAATTTCCTGGAGCGTTTGCTGGGAGCATTGATATAGGATTGTTAAAGGGACCAACAACTGCCCAAAACATGAAATGAGATGACTGCACGGATGGAAAGATTGTCCCTTATAGTGACTCAGACCAACCCAGTTTTTCTCGTGATAAGTGAATTTTCATTTTTATTTCTTCATTGAAAATTGCGAAAAATGGCCTGTGGCGTCTCTGGTGGCAAAAAAATAAACTATCATGAATGCCCTCTTACGTTACCATACGTTAATGTACATAATCAACAATTTATTGATTACGACTAAAATATTGTTTGATTTTTTACAGCAAAAGATAATATTTTATAAAAATATACGTATAAATTTGCGTAAGTAGTACACATTAAAGTGGCGCTGCTTTTGCTTGACACCTACGCAGTTCCGTTTTCGATTACTTGGCTTGGCGACGCGGTACAAATGCAGGGAAGCTCTATAGAGCTACACCATCTCATTGTAACGACTTGTTACTTTCACAAATAATTGTAAAGCACAGAATAAACGTGGTTAAGCCTAGTTCCAGGAAATCCTGCGAAATAAGAACAACGACAGCATGAATAAGCCACCAAAAAGGCTACCGACATCGCTATCAATACTCAGTGTTGCCGGATGAAAAGGCACTACCGTGTTCAGAGCTTTTCAGATCGAAAAATACTGCTTATAAAATGACTACGAGCTCTTGGGATTAACTACTGCAGCTACAATCTGTACGAAGGGTAAGCTTTCTGTCGCGCAGGAAAAAACTGAATCGAAAGAAGTAAGTTGTCGGTCCCTTTAATTTGAGATCAGATCACAACTAGGTTTCCTTAGTAGCGTGGGCTGTGCCATACGTGTACGGTTTTGTCATGTGTGTGGTGTCTCGTGAAATGAGCTATATATTGTGTTGTAACGGTACGCAATAAACAAGAGCTAGAAGTTAGCGCTCACATTGTCGTCTGTTTCTTTTCCCCTTCTTTACTGCACAACATCTTTTGCTTCATGCTCAAACTGAGGTGCGCTAAAGCAATATCATTTTTCTTAAGCCGTTGGTCATGCGTCCTCGATGTATGTAGTGCAGTAAGTAGCCACCTCTCGTTTAGTCCTTGGATTGTCCGCTGCATGACGTTACTTGTATATGTTGAAAAGATGCGAGATGGCGATACTTGGAGCGTTCACTAGATGGATGGACGTACAGACGTACAGACAGACGGACGGACAGACAAACTGACAGACGGACGCAAGTTCACGCGTTTATTTTATACAATGCCTGATTATTCTTACGTTACAGGGAACTATTTCACGTTACGTTAGAAGCTTAGCTTTCGCGAAAACGCTTGCATTGTCCCCCATGTGGTGTTCTACCAGACGACACAACCCGGCATCCTATGAGTGACGTCACCACATAGGCGGCGCCCCGTTATGTCCTCGAGGCTAATATTATCAGATGCAATGCACATCAGTTGCACGTCAGTTGTCACTGGACTCCACATTGACAGTCTGGAGCTTCTTGAAGCTCTCCACAGGGACGTATGTTACCAGCGTGTACAGTTGGTTGGGGGAGTCCTCGTCTTCGTTGCGCCCGCGGGCTAGCCTCACACGGATTCGGAATGGAACACTCCTGATTCCCTTGGACCAGATGAACTTGTTCAACCTGGTGTCAACTCGGACGTCTGAGGTTCCCATCTGCTTCTCTGCGAACTTCCTGATCTCTTTTATGGCACGGGATGCGCGCTTCTTGAAACCGATACCGTGCAATCGCTTGTGAAGGTGGATGGTGTAGTCCTTAGTGACAACCTCATTGAGCGTAGACTTTCCGCGCTTCTCGCGCTTCTCGCGCTTCCCTTCGCCCTTGATCTTTGCCGTCGCTGTTACGGCTCGAGAAGTCGGCCGAAAAAGCAGACATCATATTCCACCATCATGGAGCGTCCCCGCAAAAAGCGTGTTGTTTGGGTTCTAAGACGCTTCGCGGCGCGCTCTTAGTTTTCGTTGAGCTCATCAACCATAAATCTCCAGGGGAAACATACCGTGTACCGATCACTTTCAAATTTGACGGTTTCTATGAAGTACTGTTGGACTGCGTCTTGGTGTTGAGCTGGTTTGTGTTTCTTGATGCCAATGTGTTCAAGGTCCCGGAATGAACTCAACTAGGTCGACATTTCTTCGTTGGTTTTCTCGCTCACTGCTACTCGCATTACGCCAGCAGCAGAGGGACAGACTTCTGATGACATTCTTGTGCCGGCCTGGCCCTGGACTGTCTATTAGAATACAGTCTCCACTCAGCTTGGATGTTAGACGCTTGGTGGCTGCCGTTACTAACTCCCAATAATGATCGGCATCGATTAGATTGTCGATGTTTTCACTTCTATCACCCTGCGCGACGTCTGCAACTGGCAAGTCAAATTTCAAAAGTTCAAGTAGAAGTGACTTTCAAGGTGTAGCCATGATATCTGCGCAGATGCAGGGAACCTCCAAAGCCTCCACTCGTATTCGTTTTCCATCATACTGGCTTTGGAGCCACAGCTCAACCCGACGCGCCCTGGTGCGGTTTATAGCCGACTTGTCGCCGAAAGCATTGAGTTTGAGCTCCTTTTCCCCTAGCACTTTTAACTGTAGTCTTTCAGAGAGACTGCGGTGGATGAACGGCTGTTGAATGCCACCATCTAAGAGAAGCCTGAGAAGTGTACTTGTGTGTGGTCCTTCTGCCCAAGCTTGCGCAGTCTGAAGAAGAAATTGATGCATTCTGTGCACATAAAATTATCTTCTGAAGCTAGAGAAGACTTTAAGACTGTGGCTTGTCCAGTCACTGGAGGAGAAGATGCACGTTCATCAGCGCCTCGGTGTCCTTTGAAATCAGGATCACCCATAGGCGGGAGGTGTCTTCCACTACAGTTGGCATACCTGAGCCATTTGGCCTTACGGCAATTTTTTGACGTGTGCCCCTTAATTGTGCAATGGAAGCATCTGTTCTCACGCTTCAGCACCTCTCTTTTGTCAGCTTCTGACATCTCTGCGTCACAGTTACCGGTTTCGTGGCACTCTGAAGAACAAAACAGACAACCTTTTTTTTTCCTTGGTCATGGTATACAATGCCACAGCCGAAGATATTTTTGCCGCTTTGAATGTGTTTTTATGGCTTTCTATAGACCATTCTGCACTGATGACCCTTGGTGCTTCAGCCCGCTGTATATTTTCCCGCACTGCAACCTCGATTTTCAGAAAATGCACTAATACCTCCTGATTACTGCCTCTTGCTGTAACATCCCTTCTTCGGCAGTATTCGAGATGAAGGCCCGCAGGCACCGCTTTTTTTACAATGGTCAGGAGTAAGGCTGCGCCGAGAGAGTGACGCTTCTTATAACCATCCCATTTCGTCAACAAGGCCTCGGAGTTGGCCGAGGTTCCACGAGTCACGCACTGGGCTGATGTTGAACAATCTGGACATGTGGCTCTCGATGATGACTTCCTTTCGACCGAACCTTTCCTTTAGCAGTGAGAGTGCAACTTCATCGTTTCCTTAAGACAAATAGAGACCTGCGACAGCGGCAGCTGCTTTTGCTGTAGCTGTTGAAGTACTTGAATTTGTCCACGTTGGAGAGGTGGTTGTTAGAGTCTATAGTCGAGTCGACTGACTCCAAAAACCTTGCCACTGCCAAAGCTCATCGTTGAACTTTGCTATTTCAAATTTTGGCAGCTTTACGGTGGGGCTCATTGGCGGCATGTTATGGCTGAATTCTCTATGATCTGAGGAAGTGGAGAATCTGAGGATCTGAGGAAGCACATCAGTGACCGCTTCCCTACGATCTAGAGAAGCGGTCGCTGATGCGGTGTTAGTGCAGCTAAGCTCGCGTAGCATATGCGCTGTAATTTGGTCTTTGCTACGCTTATTCTTTTTTTGTGGTTCTCGGAGCATGGGATTTCCTCTTCTAATGCATCATCTTCAGCGCCTTTCTCAATTTCCCGATCTAGTTCTTTGATTGAACCTTCTTTAATGTTCAGAAGGTTGATCTTTTCATAAGGTTCATCCTTTGATGCGCCGTCCTCTATGGCAGCGATGTCGTTGAGAAGCTATGTAGTCGACGTTCGGACCATGGCCCTTTGGAGCTTGATTTTCTCGAAGTTCATCTTGTTTGGGTCTCTATTTCCGGGTTTAGGCACCGAAAAATGTTGCACCAGAATATCAGGGAGCCAAAAAAAAAAAACTTCTTTTAAAGGACGACGACAGAGAGTCAAGATGTTAGCACGAACGCACCACGAAGACTGGTTTATTCTACAGTATGTACACCACTCTCGTAGAAAGCGAAAATGAAAGCAAAAAAACATGCAGAGGAACACAAGTATACATATAGTCAAAAAGAGGTCCCTCTGCACCCCGCACATGCAAGGTTTTCCAGCAACTCAGGTAGGGTGCCTACCATAACTCAGGTAACTCAGCAACTCAGCGCGTTAACACTGTCGGTCCCTGCAGCTTTAAAGGGCCACTGAAACACTTAAATAAACGAGATTATCGTGTCATGATACGTAATCTTGGGCGAAAAACTCGGAAATCAAGTCAAAAATTAAACCAACGCAAATAACTTTAATTTGCCGAAAAGAAGCAACAGGCTGCCATCGCGAGTCTTGCCGCCGCTGTGATTGGACGAAAGTTCCATGACGTCGCTGTCAGGAGGGTGAGGACAGCTGAATGCGCTCGCCGGCAGTGAATGCCGTGTTTATCTGTTGAAGGGTGCTTACCAGCGCAAACGACAGGGCAGGAAAGGACAGGAGAAGAGACGAGACAGAGCGCTGAACGACAACATGAAGCACCCTTTATGATGTTATACCAACACGCCCAATCCCACTGTCTCTTGAGTTTCATTTCTAATACAACGGGCCCTTTCCTGACTTCTTCGCTCCAGCCTCACGTTGTCGTTCAGCGCTCTGTCTCGTCTCTTCTCTTGTCCCCTCCTGCCCTGTCGTTTGCAGCTGGTAAGCACCCTTTATGATGTTATACCAACACGCCCAATCCCACTGTCTCTTATCTGTTGAAATCGGGTAGTTACTGCAAGTATGGCGAACTGTGAAAGTCGGACAGAGTTCGCTGTACTCGGTCGTCCTTTATGTAACGTATCACGGGAGTGGGTGGCTGGTGCTCTGCGGCGGCTACCTACAGCGTCATCAACCGACCGCGATAGAAAGCACGTTCGCTTTCGGCGTCATCTATCGGCAAACTAATTTAACCGTCATGGACGGTTTCGAGGTGCGCGCTCGATTCCAGACTGGCCTGAGCAGCCGTGACTGATTATTTGTCTGGTGTCGTCCACACACCACGGCAGTGATGTTCCATACTACGCCGAAGAATTAACTTTTCGAGACATGCCAATTTCCTATTCTGGGCATTTTTTACATGTATACGCAAACGACTTCCAAGCATAATTCTCTGCCCGTTTTAACATGCGATCGGCTCTTATTTCACACACACAATTTATATACATGCATGTGCGGGACGTGTTTCCGAAAACTGAAAATAAGACTAGCGCCTGCGCTCCTGCATGACGATAAACATGATTTTCTTAACTCATCAGCTTTAAGTGCATCGCATATAGTGGGTTTGCGAGTCCACATCAGTATTGAACTAGATAGAAGCTTCACATAAATATCAAACTTATCTCAAGGGCTATGCTTGCATACTACATGCGCTATGACCGTTTGCAGAAGCTGATGGCGCCCTGTGACCGCAACAAAGTGGTCCTCGTTGGTCAACTTACTTATTTCCTAAATTCCCTGTCATATCGCAAAGATTCCAGTTTTCTCTTTCGTCCAAAATGATTGCTGAAAATTCCCCGAAAATGGGAAAATTCCTTGCACGGAACATCACTGCACCGCGGTCGATTTATTTGCAGCAGACGACGAGTTGCATGCATCGCTGGTTGCGCTATTGAGCGTAATCCAGCCGCGCTTGTCTACCGGCCGTGACTGGTTATTTTGTGCACCGAGAGATGACGCCTAAAGCGAACGTGCCTTCTTTCACTGTCGGTTGATGGTGCTGCAGGTGGCGGCTGCAGAGCGGTGGCCACGCGCTCCCGTGTTCCCTTTCATAAACGACGAGAGAGTGCATCTGTACACGTTCGAGCCGCTCGTAAGGGTGACGACTGCCACGTTCACCCGCGTTGGAAACATAGACTGGTACGTATAAGATGCACGCCAGTGCCTAATTTCACTGTAGTAAACTATTATAAGTGATACGCTTATCAGTGGATATTAAATTGGCGTGGGCAGCGTGCTGAAACATCAGCTGTTCGTGGTTTTCACAGCTCAGAGTGCAGTGTTGTTAATGCAGTCTGTAGAGAATTTTAGAATAGGGGCCCCAAAAGTTTGGGGTACCAAAGAAATAGCGTCAAGACATGCGCGAAACCAAACTGCGTTTGGGTTTAGAGTTGGGGACGCTATTTGTCGAATGTCGCGGGAGTCTCAAAGCCTGCCCTAAAAGTTTTGGGTCAGACAAACGTAACGACACCCACTGAAGCGACATGATCAATAATTGGGTGAGTATCCAAAGCGCCGCAAACCCTATTCAAAAACTGATCGCTCTTCCTTGACCCAAAGCGTCCATACGCAACGGACTTTGGGGCCCCAAAAGTTACGGGCCCCAAAGCCCTATTCAAAAACTACTTCGCAGCAGGAAAGGCGCACGCGATCAGTCAGTATGTTACAGCGAGAACAAAAAAAAAAAGCCAGACGAGTGCCGCTTGTGCCGCAGTGTTGATATGTGCTCTGAACTGCGATGAAAATTGCGTAAGAATACTTTGGCTTATGTATTGCAGTTCTGTTTTTTTTTTCATAATGCCATTGCTTTTTTTTCTAAATTGAGCCCAGTACTACAGTGATGATGTGTTGAAATTCAAACGGTATATTAGCTGCGCTAGAAGCATGCGCCTGTCGCATAGAATAGTTGATTTAGATCATGCGTACTGATATCTTTGTGCACGTGTTTTCACCATAAATTCTCATGCACGCACTGCGTGCATGGGGATAAAGGAGGAGTGTTGCTGCTGCCTCAACATTCGGCAGATTCGCGACTGCCACAGTGCGCTTCATCTCGTAGGTTTGAAGTATCTTCTTTTAACTGCAGCGGCTCATTTCGCAGCCATCTTCTGATCCCTAGGAAACTTGTGAAAAGCGACCTCATCGCGTTCGTAAGTGCTGCGGCGGCCATATGCCGCGCAGTATGTCCACAGCCTTGCTCAAAGACAACTAGTGAATGTTGGATGGCGAAAATCTCTAATCAGAGCAGAACGGTGCAATGGCAAGAAATCCCTACGAACTGGCAGAACTGATGCTTCGCAGGGCAGTAGGTCGCAGCAAAAACAAGGCACAACCGCGGAGTAAACAAGCTGAGCTGAATGAGCGACCCAGGCGGCCCACCGCAAAGTTGCCCGCCGGGCAGTTGCTCGACCCCGGACGGTGACGTCACCTCCCCACGTGTCTACTTCTCCCATGCTCAACCAATGTGTACGTGCGTTTTGTGGGAGGGGACGTTTCCTCGGTCAAAGTTAGCCGTTGTTTAATCGAACCTCGCGCAAGAAACATCAATAGACATGTTGTGGGAGGTCGCAGATACTGGATTCGCAATAAATTCATGAATTCAAAGCGTCTCCAGTGTCCCTTTAAGTCCTACTTCCACGGTAGTCGTGTAGCTCGCTAATGCGCGCCGACGTCGAGGACTCTCTCCCCTCTTTCTGGACCACTTGTAGACTCCTTCTAAAAGTACCGTCGCTGTGGTAGCCCCAAAACGCTTCCTCCTCAAGTTGCCCTTTTCGTTCCTTTTCGCCGCGGGTCGTTCAATTAACGTTTCTCGTAAGTGGCAGTTGGTTTTCATTTGACGACAAATACAACAAACTCCCCCGGATGAGCGAACTCTTGAGCTCATGGTTCGTCGACTTCTATAGGGATAAAGCAGCTTTGTCGGTCGCTTAAATTCTGTTCCCCCGCTTAGTTTAAATCTGCAGGTACGCATTCTGCCGTCTCT